GTGCAAGGTTATTCTTTTTGAAATACTCAAGTGAGGCTGTGGCAGTGGCATAGGAACCTATAGAAGTAAATCCGACAGCTTTAAAACCACCCAGATCATTTCTGCATTCCAGTTCAGAGCCTGGGGATGGAATTCATAACAAGCATAACCCTGAAATTGCTTATGTGGCTACTTATCTTAAAGCAGAACTCCAGCAAAGAAAGTAAAAGAATCAGTGATAAATGTATCTCTCTATCACTCTGCTTTCTCTTCCTGTCAGCATGCCTCTAAATCAGCATATGAACATATTGTGTTATTCATTCTAAAAAGGAACTCCAATGCACCTTCCAAGTGTGTCTGCAATGAAATGCACCGCAACGCATGGTGACTACTGGGCATTGCACTGCTGAAAATCCTGCATGCATAAGTTTTGGTTCATTGTGGTGAATTCGGCAATCAATTTAAATAAATGGGCTGTCTCAATGCAACATGAATTAAACTCACCAGTGGACCGAGCAGGTGTGAATGGGCTATAGGAGCCATATAGGAGCTCCTAGTCTCTCAAGGGAATACAGCAAGAATGTTTGGATCCAGCTGTGACATTCTCAGGCAAAAGTCCTCACAGTTAGCTTATAGCATCTGACAAGCGACCAAATTATCAGATCGTCAGGCATAATTGTGTAGTGTGTGTGACCTGACAGAGATCAATGCAATAGCAAACAATAGCAAATAGGAATTACAGCAAAGGAACGGAAACTCAGGTACATCAGACTTTTGGCCAGACACAAACTGTACTTTGAATTGAATCCATTTTTTTGCCTGTTAATATGACAAGCAACAGGAGTTTTCTTGCACTGCAGTACCACATTTGCACCTGCAGATGAAAAAAAAGGCATGCAGCGCAGAACAAGCACGAAAAGAGACAACAGAATGGAAGCAAGCCACATAAATTAATGCCTTGCAGCAGTACCCAAGAAGTGGAATTGACAGTTCCTCACAAATGTTAATTAGCTAAATTGCTAATTAAGACTTTTTAATGTTAAAAAGTCTAAATTTCACCCATTGATTTGATTTTCAACTGCTGCGTTGCTAGTGTTTGTAAAAGACCCCCAAACCATATATTTTCTGAAAGCACAGGCCCAGCAGAATAAAAAGATGGTGCTACTAAATTTGTAGGCCCTGCGAAAATTGTGCAAATGTTTCTCAAATTAACATTAAACCGATAAAAATACATAATTGAAATGATAAAGCACACTAAAATCAGTATCGGATAAAACTGTATTGAGTTAATAAATAACAAATATTTAGAAATTTTAAATTGCGCCTTTTTAAGGAACATAAAACTGTAAAGAAGTGACTTATGTTAAAAATAGTTTTTGCTCTGTGTTGCCGTTTGTGTTGTGATACAATGATACAGGCATATATTTAATTGTAACACAGGGTATAACAACGCACGGCAATGCGTCACAAAGCTTTGCCATGCGCTGCCACAGCTAAATGTTTAGTTTTTTTTTAAATCTCATGCACTGCGTGCATTCTAACAACGCATGGCAGCGCATGTGCATGGTGTGTGGGGGGAGGGTTTTTGTTGTTGTTACAAAATGTATTTATTTTTTATATATATATATATACACACACACACACTGTTGGGGGGCTACAGTGAAATATCTGGGGTCTAAAACAGACCGATGACATTTCCCTTTTGAAAACAGAAAAAGAAACTAAGGACACATAGTCCTCCATTTCTTTTTCTGCACTAAATGATGCACTGTGATGCGTTCTAGCAACACACTGCAGCGAATGTGCATGGCGTACACATGTTATGTGTGTGGGGAGAGGAGGGGTTGTGTGTTTTTTTATTAGTTAATTTTTTTTTTTACAAATGTATTTTTGAATATTTTTTATTTATTAATTTTTTACTGTTGGGGATCTTTGGAGAAATATTAGGGGTCTAAACGGACCCCTGAGATGCCTTTTGAAATAGCAAAATAAATTGAGGACACAGAGACCTCAAATTTCTTTTTCTGCAGCCTCAGCACTCAATCACTGGGAAGCACTCAGTACAGAGGCTTCCCATTCATTCAGAAACTACTGATGCTACTCCGCATTCATAAATTCATGAACAGGAAGTGATGTAAATCACATCCTGTTCCTTCATAACTGGGGACACATAGTACTATGTGTCCCCAGTTATTTACAAACACCGGAGTGATCAGACGATCACTCCGGTGTTTGCGCTGCACAAGAGGATTGTCAATATCAATAATTTAATGAGGACCATCTGGGGGACAGTTCTGGTATAAGTTCATGGTCCCTTTAACAGAACTGTAAATGCCAGCGCCATAAGGCATACTGCCCTGGCCAGCTGGGAACAATTTTGTTCCGCCGTATGCCTTACGGCGGTGGCAGTGATAGGGTCAAAGCCACAAAGGTGTGAAATGAGCCTTAGTATGGACATGTTAGAGACCTAGGACAGAACCATTTAGCAACTAATGCTAATGTCAATAATTCTCTTGCTACACCTCAAGGTCAATAATGTCTACCTTATAAAGAAGGTGAACACTTGACTTATGTAGGTTCAGCATCAAATGTAGCCTGGTCGGCAATTTTTAACAATCGAAAAAATAATTTGTTGGTGTACACTGCTGTCCAAAGTTACCACTATTCTATAATGTACTCAGAGTGCAGTTATTTCTGTAAACAAAAAGTAAATTATGGAAATACCAAGTCTGGTGCAAAGGCTATAGTTGATTTACAGAAAAGACACTAGTAATACCCACTGTTCACCACACACTAGTAATACCCACTGTTCACCACACAACAGATAAGTATAATGGTTGCTGCTCTATGCCCTAAAACAAAAGGATAGACAGCCAAAACTGGTCCTTCTTACTTTACCACTAATGTTATCAATAGTAGCATGACAGCAGGCCTACTGCTAAATACGGTTTGGTTAACATAATGCTTTTTGTATCAGGACAAGTAGATTATCATGAGGGACAAGTAGATTCAGCCCCCGATTTAGTCCTCGGACACGTAGTTTTTTCCAAAATTTCCACACCCGAGGCCCCCTAGAATGTATTTATTACTGAGGCAACTACATACACTATTAGTGCCGAAAAGAATTGGGACACCTGCCTTTACACACACATGAACTTTAATGGCATCTCAGTCTTAGTCCGAAGGGTTCAATATTGGGTTGGCCCACCCTTTGCAGCTATGACAGCTTCAACTCTTCTGGGAAGGCTGTCCACAAGGTTTATGAGCGTGTCTATGGGAATGTTTGACTATTCTTCCAGAAGCGCATTTGTGAGGTCAGGTACTGATGTTGGACGAGAAGGCCTGGCTCACAGTCTCCACTCTAATTCATCCCAAAGGTGTTCTATCGGGTTGAGGTCAGGACTCTGTGCAGGCCTGTCAAGTTCCTCCACCCTAAACTCGCTCATCAATGTCTTGTTTTGGGCACTAGTGCACAGTCATGTTGGAACAGGAAGGGGGCATCCCCAAACTGTTCCCACAAAGTTGGGAGCATGAAATTGTCCAAAATGTCTTGGTATGCTGATGCCTTAAGAGTTCCCTTCACTGGAACTAAGGGACCAAGTCCAACCCCTGAAAAACAAGATACAAATAGAACTATCCAGAATATCAACCCAGGTACTCCGAGACCTCACCCCAATGAAATCGCACAAAAATCACAACCTAGGTTGTAGTGGGGTTTTAGAGAGGCGTCAGAGGATAATCAATTTGTATAAATTTATTACAATTCATTAAAAGCATTAATTAACAATTGTAGATGTAGAGAGACACACGAGAGGACTGACAAAATAAACATATATGATACAACACTCTGAGACTGCAAAGATATCAGGACTCCAGACTGTCTTATTTTGCATCTGTGGCTCCGCTGTATGAATAATTCTAGGAAGGGCTGGATACGTATCCTGTTGTCCTGGAAATAGGTCTCTGGACGATCCCGGAGTCTGGGATTCTTGCTGGGAACAAAACTCCCTGAGGAAGCTGACAAGCGAAACGCGTTGGCTGAATTGGAGCAGTAAATTACTGCACATGAATTATGTAACCAATTGAGATTTGAATATATGATGAATCACCATATGTAATCATGAAATGTGAGAATTGGGCAAGAATTAGGGTTTGACAATCATGCTTATTAAGTACAATTTTTAATTTTGTTAATTAATGCTTTTAATGAATTGTAATACATTTATACAAATTGATTATCCTCTGACGACTCTTTATAACTACACTACAGCCTAGGTTGTGATTTTTGTGCCCTGAAAAACAACCCCACACAATAATTCCCCCTCCACCAAACTTTACACTTGGCACAATCCAGTCAGGCAAGTACTGTTCTCCTGGCAACCGCCAAACCCAGACACGTCCATCGGATTGCCAGACAGAGAAGTGTGATTCGTCACTCCAGAAAACACATCTCAACAGTCCAGTGGTGGCGTGCTTTACACCAGGGCATCCGACGCTTTGCATTGCACTTGGTGATGCAAGGCTTGGATGCAGCTGCTCGGCCATGGAAACGCATTCCATGAAGCTCTCTATGCACTGTTGTGCCAATCTGAAGGACACACGAAGTTTGGAGGTCTGTAGCTATCGACTCTGCAGACAGTTGGCAACTTTTGCGCACTGTGCGCTTCAGCATGTGCTGACCCAGCTCTGTCAATTTACGTGGCCTACCACTTTGTGACTAAGTTGCTGTTCCCAGTTGCTTCCACTTTGTTATAATACCACTAACAGTTGACCGTGGAATATTTAGTAGCAAGGAAATTTCACAGAATGCCTGAATCCAATAGATTTGGAGGGGTGTCCCAATACTTTTGGCAATTTAGTGTACATTGCAGCATGTTGCATCCAAAACACATTGTTAAAAAAACACAACTTCTAGAAATGAACAAATTACAGTATTATTTATGGTTATTCCATGGAGATTCACTACAAATATATATTACACAATATTCCATAACATATCACCAAACAAAAAGAATAAGTACCTGTAGCAGTTGGTAGGGTAATGTGACTTCTAGCTCAGCCATTCTGTGTGCAGGGTCTTCTTCATTCTCTGGTATATCCAAATCCTCTTCTGGAATGGTATCCCATTTACCTTTATGAGCTACCAGTTGATGAACTAGTTCATATTGCTCTGGCAGTGCCAAACTCACCAAAGTCTGTTTTCCATGTCGGAAACGAATGCGCCTTCGCTTACAGGTCTCTGGGTCACAAGTTACTCCAACTGGTAGAACAGGATCACCCAAAAGCGCATTAACTACCTTACTTCGGGCACTGCAGTTATGCCCCAGAACAAAGATACAGGGCCTGCAGCGCACAGTCAGCTTCAAATATTCTTCCTCTTGTCTCTGAAAAGTGATGCTTTGCAGCTGGCCTGACAATAAAAAAAAAAGGCTAAACTTAATGGATTAGTTTCCTTCCCTAAAAAGCAGATTTAAAACTTTAATATTTCCAATATTAGAAATGTAGTGTTGCCTCAGTACCTTTAAAAACAGCAATTTTAGTAAAACCTTGTTAAATATTTCCCCTTAAAATACAATTATAAAATAGTACCAAATGGAAACCAATGGAACATATAAAATGGGGAAAAAGAATAAAATAAAAGTTAAAATATCAGGAGCTATTTATATCAATGGTGTAACTTCAGCCAAATGCCCACATAAAAAATCAATATACAACATTTGAACCATTTTACCCATCAGTAATTAATTACTTTTGGACCCACTTATTGGTGAGCAGCAGAAGCCAGCAGTGCGACACCATTTCTAGTGCAACTCTGCAGCCTCCACCATGACCTGCCTACTTGTACAACAATGAATAAGCATCACAATCTTGAGTTCCTTCCCGTGCTCTCTTCTTGTATACTCTAAAAAAAAACTCCATATCTAGTTCTCACTGACCAAAAGTATTCATACCACTGATAACAGCACCAAATTGTTTACCAGTGCATAACCTACCAGTAAGCAGGTTTTCTGCCATGCGATAGATAGTTCATGGTCTCTATTACACTAAACAGAATTAGGGGCTTAAAAAAAGTCACTTTACCCAACTTTCTGGTGGCCAGTTTGTTTAAACACCACCTGTTCACTGTTTGCTGCAGTCCGCTGCATGTTTTCCACACACCCGGAATGGTGCAACACCTTCCCCTTTTCTGCACGCTGTGGTTTTTCTGGCAGGAGGAACAACTATGTATGGTTTGAAAAGCATACAATGTACAATGGGGGGTACAGGGGGAGGAAGAAGAGAGAAGAAGAAGGAGGAAGAAGAGAGAAGAAGAAGAAGGAGGAAGAAGAGAGAAGAAGAAGAAGGAGGAAGAAGAGAGAAGAAGAAGAAGGAGGAAGAAGAAGGAGGAAGAAGAGACAAGAAGGAGGAGGAAGAAGAGAGAAGGAGGAGGAAGAAGAGAGAAGAAGGAGGAAGAAGAGAGAAGAAGGAGGAAGAAGAGAGAAGGAGGAGGAAGAAGGAGGAAGAAGGAGGAAGAAGGAGGAAGAAGGAGGAAGAAGGAGGAGGAAGAAGGAGGAGGAAGAAGAAGGAGGA